GGCTGATAAAATTCCAAAAAGCATTTTAATGACTTATAACTGACAATGTAATTAGGTCCTCATGTAGTTTTCTTGAAAACAAAGAATTGAAAGCCACTTGACTTGCAGAAGATTTGTTAGCCACGCATGAAGTTCATTCCTTTTCTCAATACCGACACTATTCCAAATTGTTCCTTTGTCACTTGTGACATTCCAGAGACAACACAGGAAAATTGGAAATGAAGGAAGAGTCTGCATCTATTGTGAAGAGAGCGTGGGGAACTGGCAAAAGGGAAGACTGTGGGTACAAGCCACTCCTCAGGTCCATTTTATAACAAAAGTGCACGTGGAGCTTGAACACATGCAAAGGGGCCTGGCCAGTGAATTCCCTGAACACCTGCATCTCCTGTCAGAGGCACATCCCCACCAGCTGGACGGTCTCTGTGGCACATCAGGACCAAGATCCTGAAAAGGCGAGATATCGCCTGTAACTTTGTCTTTAACAAAACCTTTCATACTAAGTAGGTATTTAATAAAGACCAGGACACATTTCACAAAGGAGGCAGAGAGCTGGTTCTCAAGTAGACTCTGGCGCCAGCTTCTCTATCCCACATGTTTACTGTGTACCTTTATTTTTCCTAATAAAGAATGGAGGTATTGCTTCATTCCAAAATATTGTAAGAATTGCGAAGATTATTAAACAATCTGAGACTTCTGGAAGGAATTTCAAAAGGAATGTGCATTCTCAAATATCCAGCATTTTATCTTACAGAGTGTTTTGTTTTCTGTTAGTTTGAAGAGCGTACTGTTCCTGTCATAGGGCATGCTGTAAGGAAAGAAAAACTTAGAAAAGAAAAGGGAGAGTTTGAGAGCGACTTTTAAAGAAATCTAATTGTTTTTATTTCCTGTTCTCTTGTACCTCTTGCTGGCCATGATGACAGGGGACTTCTTTGAAATGACACAATCAAGGGTTGTAGAAAACTGGAAGGAAATATTATCCAAGGTCACAAATGGCCTCTCCTCGCTGTCCCTGAAGGTGTTGGAATATTTCGTTTACTATATGAATTTTTGTAAAGCTTTCTTTTCTTTTCTTAATCATTTTCTAAGAGCAATAATGATGGCAAAATTATTAATCTTAGAAATGTTAAGTAATTCAACTATAAATTTACAACACAAGAATGCATAAAGTCATAGAAAAGGCTTAACTCAAGAAATTTAAGTAGGCTAATTCTGTCTACCTTTACTTTGGTTGTCTTATTTTCCTCTTGAATTATTTAAATAATTTACTGTATTCTCTGATTGACAGTGAATGGAAATATAACTCTCTTCTTGATGATATGGGATATATTAATGAGATTTAATCTTTCCCCTTATATAACAACCCATTGTGTCACTTAAAGAAAAGTTCCCTGCCCTGGCTTGGAGGCTCGGTTGGTTGGAGCATCATCCCATGACAAAAAAGCCTTGTGGTTTCAATGCCTGGTCAGGGCACATACCTAGGTTTCAGGTCCAATCCCCGGTGGGAGCACATATAGGAGGCAACTGATCGATGTTTCTTTCTCACATTGATGTTTTTCTCTCACATCGATGTTTCTCTCTCTCTCAAATAAAAAATAAAAATGAAAATGAAAAAAGTTCCCCGTCACCATGGCCAGCAGCAAGAGGTTTAAGAGAACAGGGAATAAACACAGCTACAATTCTTTAAAGTCATTCTCGACTCACTCTTCTTTCTCTTCTTTGCTAATTGTTTTCCCTTTCTTCTACACATAAATAAAAATATGTACTAGTAGAGGTTCACCTATAGTATCTTAGTGTATTCCTAGAAGGTAGTGTGTTAAAATAGAGTTTGGAGGGAAGAAGACCTGAGTTTGACCATGACTTTAAACAACCCACTTAACTTTATTGAGTTTCTACTTATCTGTGAAATACTGACAATAATTTTCCTCTGAATGATCCCATGTATGTGAAGACATGTATGAATGCAGTCAGTCAATATAAACACATACACTCAAAAATATAGTCTAATGAAACTAAGCCTCTCTGCTCTGCTCTATGGAGTTAAATTTTTGTAAGAAAAAGGCAAAGACAATTTTAAAAATTGAGTCTTATTTATAAAGAACCATCCACATGTCTGATCTGTAAACATATGGTTTATTTATGATTTTAATAATGAAACTAGAAAAAATCAGTTTAATAGAACATACAAATAATTTTATCAACATAGTATTTGCTGAGAAAGAATCCATTTGGTCAAACTATCAGAATACTGAATTTCACAGTTAAACCCACATGCAGACTGTAGAATTATGTTACAGAATGTTTCAATGAAATGTATTAACTATAAAAATAATCCAATGCAATTTCCATTTAACACATTGTACCAAGCGCCTTCTTCAATAGAATTAACAAGTTTACAATCTTTCCCATAAAGTGCTATGCATTCAAAGTGCTTTGTAGCATTGAGGTTTAGATCAAGGAACAAATACTGTAGACTTCCATTGTAATGCAGCTCAGTCATAAATGAAATCAGATATAATGTAGATGAAATTCTCTCAGAGGACAGAAATCAATGATGTGCCATCAGTGACACATCCTCAATAGGGGGTGGGGCTGAAGAACTTCATAGACATGTCATTATAGCCATAATAAAAACGAGTTTAAAGTTGAATTTATCATTTTTGTAGTGAGTACCCTTTCCTAGAGAAAGAAAAATAGAAAGCGACAGAGAGATAGACATAGACAAAGAGAGAAAGTTCACAATGCTTCTACAATCCATTTTTTGACTGACACAAGATCCTCAATTCAATTAATTGTCCACGACAGCACATTTCAGACATTATAGCACATCAGAATTACCTGGAAGGCTTGTTAAAAACCACCCATTGCTAGACCCCACCCACAGAGTTTCTAATTTAATAGGAATAACATGAGGACAGGAATTCGTATTTGGGACAGTTCCAAGTGATGCTGATATCTTGATCACATTTTGAGAATCACTGGAGGCAGCCAGCATGGATTATAAGATGATTTAGGGCAGCAGTTCTCAATTCTACATAGTTGAATCAACCGGATTTAAAAAAAAACAACTGATGCCTACACCCATCTAAAACTAATTAAATCTGAATCTTTGGGGTGGAACCAGGGGTTGAATCATTCATGCATTCAGGAAAATGTCTCATGAAAGTCTAATGTGTAGTCCAGCTGGAAAATCACTGCTTTAGGAAATTTTCTTTCACCTCACGTGGAGAAGAAAAGATAGCCAGACATATGTGCCCTTTGGACTATCGGTATATGAACAAAGACGTCTTCAAGGAAATCAAAATCTCCAGTAGGCACACGGATACACAGCTATTGCTAGCAATATCAGGGAGTAAATCAGAGAGTGACTGTGACTGTTGACTTACAATGCACTCCAAGGTTAGTTCACAGGTTTGAAATAACAGAACTTGGGAAGGTGAGCAGCATGCTAATTTAATCCAACTTTCTTTTCTATTGAATGACACCAACCAAACAGTCTAGAGAGTCTAGAATGTTGGTATATGTGCTGATGTGCAAGGTTTACCTGCTATAATTATTGTTACTCATTCCACTCAGCTCAATTATTTACTACTATGATTAAAATTTGAGTAGCCCCACAAATAAGGCCCCCAAGGACAAAATCTCACAAGCGTTTACCAGTCTACCTCAAGAAGCAAAACTACAGAAACACACACACAAAACAAAGGGCATTTTGAAATAATATGTCCATTTTATATCACCCTTCTGGCATAAATAGAAGGAATATTTGTAAGTGATTATACATGGCATGGGATCATTTTACAGGTTCGGGGCAATCTTTAGTATTGAGTATACATAGAAGGACCTTTAGAACTCATTTTCACAGACGGAGTCATTAAAGCCCCAAGCCACAGTTTTTAAATAAAACTCTCATGTATGAAACTGGGAGTAATATTTGATTATAAATAAAAAGGAATTTAAACAAACCCTAGATGTCAGGACTGGGCCTTTCAGGTGATCTTTGGTAAAAGTCAGGCATTGGAACACTATGAATTTGATTTGAATATAGACGTCTCAGCTATGTTGAATGTGTGACTGCCTTGGAGTCCTTTATTAGAAACCACTGCCCATAAGAAGGGTCCTACGATCTGCCAGGTATTCTCAAGGTGCTTACTGTGCTTCTGACCAGAATGACACACTGGAAACCAGCTCAGATAAGCACAGTGAGTTTTCTTAATAAAGATAAAATCTAAAGTCCTGGCAAGATGCTTGGGTGAATCTTTCTCCATTCTTGAAGTCTTCCAGGAAACATCTTTGAAATATCCTAAAAAAACAATAAAAGAGATAGTAGAAATATCTATAAATATAATCACTCAGGATAGTAGAAACTGGGCACTAAAGATATGGAGGCATCAAGGAAATAGCAGGCAAACAAGGAAATGCTAAAAATAATTTTGGCCTTTTGTTACCATCTTTAATATTTTACATACTAGTATATACATATATTATATAAATTTCATATTTTAATATTTTAATTTCTTTTATATATGTATGGCTCTTAATACATAGATATTAAATTTCACAAAACTGCAGAAATTAAGGAATGGAGCCCATTTAAGGGCAAATAATCACAGCCGTTCCTTTCAACACTAAAAGGGGGATGAATTCTGGAACAGTTTGCTTTCTTTCCTTCTGTGGTATGTCCCTGGGGCACCTTCTCCTCTGTAGTGCACCTTTGGGGCCCCGTAAGGGAGATAAGAAACTCACAATTTCAGAGAGCTATGCTTGCAAAGGCCAAGGATGTGATTTAGAGTTGCAAAGGGAATAGAGTGGGTCCCTCCATCTTACCCAGCCCTGTCCTGACAGGCTGGGTGCTAAGCAACACAGAACTGAAACTGTGTGCTATGTGTATACAAGGACTGATAAGGGATGAGCCAGCCCAAAGGAGAGGGGACCCAAGGTGAGGTATCTGCTTAATCTTGCAAACAGATGAGGCCTAAACTCACCATCTGCCATGCAGTCTCTTAGGCCTTCTTGCTGTTCAGGGAAACATCTGTGTTCTCACTTTCTCTTTGCACTTTGTGCTCTTGCTTCTCTTGGGTTCCAGGGCAATTGGCTTTTCCAGGGAGTATTTCCACAGCCTGTAGACCCTCTCTACTCAGCTCTGACTCTGTCTGTTGGGATAGTCCCAGTCTGACATCTTCAGCCTTGCCTGACTCCTGCCCCCCACCAGGGCTCCCCATCCCTGCTTCCCCTCCCTTTTGATCTGGCCCTAGCTGAGGGGCCTTCTCTTCCAGGTCTGAAGGTTCTTCTAGAGCCCCCACCTCAGCCTCTGACGCCCCAATCACGGTCACCTCCTCCGCTGCTGGCACCCTCTCCCTGCTCAGCGCTATTTCCTCTGCCGCCACCTTCTCTGCAGACGCTGTTTTTTCTAGTAACTCATCCACTTTGTGCCAAGTTTCCTCATCAGCAACATCTGAAAGGGAGGAGGCTGTATTTGCTTCTGTTTTTTCCTCAGCTGTCTTCAAATCTGCCAACACCTCTCTCTTCTCGTCAGCCATTCCTGCCACTCCTCCTTCCTGGAGATCTTCTTTAGCCACAACCATTCTTCCTTGTAAGCTCCCAACCCCCTCTTTGTGCCCATTCTTCATCACTCCTGTCTCCAGAGAGCACTCTTGATCCACCTCTTCCTCTGGCTCCTCATCCATCACTTCCTCACTTAACTTTTCTACCATCACGGACTCTCCTTCAGAAATATCTTCTTGGGCCCCCACTCCTTGTTCCCCTTGTAAAGACCCTTCCTTTTCCCTCTTTTTCACTCCTGCAAGGCCATCTTGATCTTTGGCTGCACACTCTTGGGCATGTCCTGCTGGGTCACTTTCAGGAGCTCCTAACACACCCTCTCCCTCAGGGCCTGGCCCATCATCCTGATCTGAGGGAGTCTCCTTCTCCCTGTTTTCCCTGCAGAGTAGCTCTGCTCTGCCTTTATGCCCCGTGTTTCCAGCTTCTCTTAGTCTTTCCCCTCCTTCCTCTTTCCTCACAACTATTGTATTTTCCGGTGACTTTTCAAATCCAGGTGCTGCTTCAAGCATGCCCACCTCCCTCTCTCTCAGTGAATCATCCCCTTGCGGGCCTGTGTCTTCAGTCCATTCAGGACCCTCCACGGGTGCTGCATTCTTAACATCACACTCTGTTTCATCTAGGGGGCCTGGTGTCTCTTCCACGGGTCTTACTTCCTTCACAATTTCCCCCTCTTCCCCTTTAAACTTTTGCTCTCCTGCTAAAATATCTTCATCCTGAAGAGCATTTGCCCTTGTCACCTCTTCTCTTTCAGATTCAGTTTCCCCCAAAGGTGTTCTTGGCCTCTCAGCTTTCCTCCTCTGTCTTGCTGCATCGAATTCCTCAGGTAATGTTTCTTTCCTATCATCTTTCTTATTAGATTCTACCTCAGTCTCAACATCCTTCTTTTTCTCAGCTTTCTTACAAAGTTCTTCCAGGCTTTCCTCCGAAATCCTCATGCTGGTGGCCTCGGCCTTCTCAGAAGTGGAGGAGCTCAAAGGTGTTTCGATTCTCATAACCGTCTTCCTTGCTTTGGCTGGTTCCTCGCCCCCAAATACTGCCTCTTCTGAACCATCTGCTCTCTCGAATGCAGTGTCATCCTCAGGTGCCATGTCCCCTAGATCTATGGATGCTTTCTCTTCACTGTCCTCCATGTCTGGCTTTTCAGAGCCTGCCTCACTCACAGCCACCCCTCTCTCGGCCTCTCCCTTCTCCAGCATCACAGCCTCTCTCGGGGCTGCTACCTCCTGAACACACTCTGAGTTCTGAGCTGCAGTCTTGCTGGCAAACACTGCCTTCTCCGAACTCTGCTCCTCTTCAGAAGCTGCCTTCTCTGTCTCCAGCACTGTCTGCATCAAGGCCTGCTGTTCAGGAGCCTCTTCTTCATTCAGACTTCCTGAGGCTCTTGCTGCTTCTTCTCCCATTGGCTTTAACCCCTCTCCATCCAGCTCTCTAGCCCCTTCTGCCTCTGCCCTGCTTGCTATGCCCTGAGGGCTCTCCCTTTCCCCAGTAAACAGTGCTACTAAAACTGGCTGCTCTGCTGTTGGCTTCCACTCCCCCAAGGGAATCTCCTTAATCCCTGCTTTACTCCCCAGTGTTACACCCCCTTTTTCTTCTAGTGTGTCAGCATCCCTGTGTTGGGGAGCCCCTTCTTCTTCCACTGCTTCTTCTTTCCCCACTGTGTACATTTCTGATGCAACTGGCTTGGATTCTTTGTTTGAGGTGAGGGCTGTGCTTTCTTCCGCCACTAAAATCCTGTTTGGTACTATAAAGTAAGGTTAGAAAACAAGGTGACTTTAATCAAAGTGCACAGAGAGGAGATATTATATGTAATATTATGTACTACAAGAGGTATTATATATAATATCAAGGGGGCATTGATATTATATATAAAACATTTCTCCATTCTATGATGATATCAACTATAACATGCATCAAAATGGCTTTTCATGATGAAAAGAAATGCTATCAAGTTTAATAGATACATTTATATTAAAGAAAAATTGAACATCAGAAATGTTGAATACAAACAAAAACTCCCTGTCTTAGAATAACAAAATCTCTCTCTCTTTCTCACACACACACACACACACACACACACACACACACACACCCAACCCCTTCTACTTTCATTTGAAATATTAGGAACTTCAAAAATTATGCAATAAAAAATAGTATTTCCTCTTCTTAGAAATCATGGTTCTCTACAGCACCATAATATGCCCATCCCAGCCCATGTTTTTTATACTTACATGGGCATTTAGCAACATAATCATAACACAGTATGAGCTCATCATTATCCCATCTTTTACTCTCACATTTTAAATGACTATATCTAGATATAGTTATCAAATAACTTTATAGCTCAAGGTAAGACTTTTTACTAAAAACACCAATTTGTATCATAGGCTGGATGCCTCTCATCTATGTTCAGAAACTGATTGCCTTTGGCAAAGTAGGATCACAGAGCAAGACAAGACTTTGTAGCCTAGAACAATTTTCAATAAATAACCTTCTTGAAGTATTTCATAAGTTCTCATCCATAATTCCCTGGCAAATCTGGGTGTACTAGCTATCAATACTTTAATAAATACAAATTCAATATGTTTCTTAAAAGTCTTCAAATGGATTTCTTATTATTTAACAAATACATATATTTCTGTTGAAATGATCTACACAAAATAAAGGCATGTCATGCCATTCACCTAAAGCATTTTAATTTTCTCACCATAAAATAATACTTTGAAAGGTAAGAGCTTGCTTCTAAAATGGTTATCTTAATAATTTTTATCAATTTAAATTTTTTCACTTATAGATGACACTGGACTAGATGTTATAAAATAAGTTATCATACCAGGGTGTCAACCTCCAAATTATGTCAATCTATAAATCGGCAAATGTGTCTTCCTCATTTACTTATTTGCTTATTTACTTTTTGAGTAGCCATTTCACCTCCTATCCCATTACCAACAATTTACCAGAAAGCTAAAGCCCTGACCTTATTCACATTTTCTGTAGTCTGATACCCCACCCAGGACAGTCTTATCACTCCATTTCCTCTCCTAATACAAAACACGGATGTCCTTTCTTGCATTCCCTGTCTCTTGTCAGCTATTACTAGAAACCATTTTGAAGTAAGGTAATAATAACTGACATTACATTTTCCTTAAAATAAATGCATTCAGAAGGTATCTTTTAATGTCTTCTTTTAAAGTAATAACACAGAAATTTCAGGCCTATCAACAGAGTTGGTGTTGACTTTTATAGGCTGTCCTCGGCATATCATAGTGGTTATTTAAAAAATTGTATATAGAAAGTCCCAGAAGAAACTGTTGAACCAAATGTTCACTCATAGAACATGCAGCCAATACACCTGAAAGAATATCGTCCATTTTATTTCATTACAGATTATTTTCTGATTTAAAACAAAATTAAAAGTGAGAAACTGCAAAGCATGACAAGTCTCTTTAATAATATATCTGTTGTTATTCAAATTCCTACATGAAATATATTAAAATTCAGTTATGAAAGACATTTAAATAAAGTCCTCTGTTTTGCTAAACTGGCCTCTAAAATTATGGATTATTTAAAGAACATTCAGGAAAACAGGGGAATAAAATTGCCTACCCACCACGTAATAATATACTATGCCTACATTTAAAAAGAGAAAGTACTAATGGCATCCAGCTGAGCTATTACATGAACACACACTGTTGGGGAGTCAGACATGACATTCCCAAAGCAAGGGAGAAGGAGTAATTGAAGCCCTTCTAAGAAATGTCAGTACAAAAATATGACATAATTTTTGATGGTTACCTCATGGGCTTTTGAAAGAATGTCTATAAGAGAGCAAGCAATATTCACAAATAGGGGTAATTTGTTTTAGTTGATTGAGTACATACTTGGGAGTCAGACAGACCTGGGTGAGAATGCCACCTCTGTCACTTACTAGTTGTATGAACTTGGGAAATAATGCCTCACTAAGCCTTCATTCTTTAATCATAACATAGAAATAGAAAACAATTTCACAGAATTCTTATGACAGTAAACCATAAGATGATTAGCACAGTGCCTGGCACACAGAAAGCCCTACAAAATCTTCCTCCCATATTCCTCTCCCACTGTTTACAATATATGTTCTTCGTTTAACCGGATTTGATCTAACAACTACTGTGCCTGCATTGTAGAATGTTTGGGGAACTCCTTGGGTTTAATGCCCAGTACAAAAGATTTGGATTCTCCAAGCATAGGGTCCTTGTCATACAACTCAGCCCGCTGCATGTTCAAATGTCACCTGGCCCTCTTCACATTGCCTAGGCCAGTGGTCGGCAAACTCATTAGTCAACAGAGCCAAATATCAACAGTACAACGATTGAAATTTCTTTTGAGAGCCAAATTTTTTAAACTTAAACTATATAGGTAGGTACATTGTTATTAACTTAATTAGGGTACTCCTAAGGCTTAGGAAGAGCCACACTCAAGGGGCCCAAGAGCCGCATGTGGCACGCGAGTTGCAGTTTGCCAACCACGGGTGGGAGCTCAGGAAACCAGCATAAGTGCAAATATTCTAGCTACTGCTATTTTGTGTGTGTGTGAATAATAAAGTTTTGTTCTTTTTCTCTGACCCAGAAGTCTTGGGTCTTCTCCTAGCATTCATTAAACTATGGCTGTCTAACTTGTTTGCTTAAAAATAGGGTAAAATCTCAAATACCTCCCAGTGCTTGATGACTACCATTAAAAGTTTGAGGTGGGGGTAATGTGACCACATGATGAATAAAAAGAATACTCCCCCCCATAAACATATGTGCAAATCGGGGTATTTTTGAAAAAGTCACCCACTAACAAATGGGAATCCTGATTTCAAGGACGGAGGCTATTTGAGCAGATATGCATGAGTCACGTCTGTTGGGTCACTCTAATTGGCAGCTGGAACGCTCAGCATCAAGAGCCAGGTCATATGCTGATGGCAATAAATTATTTCCTAATTTTTAAAATATAGAGAGTTCAAATAAGTTATTCTGAAGTGTGCCTTGGCTATCCATGTCTTCACCCCTCCTATTCAGTCAACTAACTGGAGTCTATAAAAAGAAGACTGGATCTGAAAATCTCTATCAATGTTTTTTATAATCCAAAATTCTTTTTTTTAAATTTTAGGTACCAATGTATTCAAAAATTAACATCTACATTTGTTATCAGCTTGAAAACTCCCCTTGAGGCCTCTCAGCCCCTCTTGCCATCACATTCATCAGTTGAAAAGAAAATAGACCTGGAAGAAGGAGGAACAAGGATAAAAAGATGGAAGATGGAAATGGGGCTGACTTTGGCAGAGGATTTCTGAAGGTTGTTTTTTTTTAGGTAATGATGTGCCCTTACCTGCACCTGTGTCAATCTCCAGCTTGGTCAAGAGCTTCTCCTCCTCATCTGTGCTGTTAACACCAGACTCAGCATCACAGGGGTAGTGGCAGCCAGGTTCCACAGCTCCGCCTAATATCTGTCCAACTGATTGCAGATTATATGAAATATCAAGAGGTATAAAAACAGGACATGGGAACATTGCTGAGCTATTTCACATCATTTCAGCAAATGGGGTTAATTTTAAAGCATTCACATGAATATGTGACCTTATTTTTCAAATCTATTACTTAAAGTTTCCAATTATGATTTTAAAAAGAAAAGATAATAGATTATGAAGCAGAGATACCCATGCAAAGAAATGCTTGCATTAAAAAAAATGACAACAGCCAGAAGCAGTGACAGATTTGCCAAATGCACATGCAATAGAATGATTGGAAAAGGAATTTGGTTGCCTTTTACTTTCCAGAAAGGTGTGTTATGGCTTTTATATCACCAGTCACCACTGCTATTTTAAATTGTTAAAACTACCAGAGCTGACTATACTATTTTATCCATTAGTATATTTTAGTGATTTGACATCAATACTCATTCCATGATGTGGACAGAGCAAAAAAGCTATTGCATGATTCCTATAAATTTGACATTAAAAGCTGTTATAGAAATTCCTGTTATCTGCAGGTGATTACTAGCACAGAATCTTAAGAACACAAAGACTGAAATTCAAGTCCCATACTCCATACTAACTGTGTCACCATGGGCAAGTTTTTAGCCTAAGCCTAAACCTCAGTTTACCCATCTGTCAAATAGAGGTATATCTACTCAATGATCATTGGGAGGATTAAATACAGGGGTTGGCAAAAGTAGGTTTACAGTTGTGAGTACATGAAACAGTTTATTCTTGTATTGTTATTTATTGATTATTAGAGGCCTGGTGCACGAAATTCGTGCTAGGGGGTGTGTCCCTCAGCCAAGCCTGCCTGCACCCTCTCCAATCTGGGACCCCTTGAGGGATGTCTGATTGCCCGTTAAACAGGCAGTCGGACATCCACTCACCTGCCTGCCTGCCTGATTGCCCCTAACTGCTTCTGCCTGCCAGCCTGATCACCCCCTAACCACTCCCTGCCAGCCTGATCACCCCCTAACCACTCCCCTGCCAGCCTGATCAACGCCTAACTGCTACCCTGCTGGCCTGATTGCTGCCTAACTGCTCCCCTGCTGGCCCGATTGCCCCTAACTGCCCTCCCCTGCAGGCCTGGTTCCCCCAACTGCCCTCCCCTGCAGGCCTGGTTGCCCCCAACTGGCCTTCCCTGCTGGCCTGATCACCCACAACTGCCCTCCCCTTCTGGCCATCTTGTGGCCACATGGGGGTGGCCATCTTGTGTGTTGGAGTGATGGTCAATTTGCATATTGCCTCTTTATTATATAGGATTGTATTATTTTCCACACAAACAACTGTAAATCTACTCCACCATCCCCCCACTAAGAAAAATATATATGGAGCATACTTATCTTTCACTATTAGCAAATGCTTAAGCACTTAATAAACAATAGTTAGATCATGATGATGATGAGCATGGGTATTATATGTAGCATCACCCAATGTGGTATGATTCTAGACAACGCTGTAATATCAACTAATTCTTTAGTTTCTGACATGTCCCTGTCTCCATCCCTTGCCTATCATCTGATGACCCATGTCCCTAATTCCCTGACATCTAACATTATACTACTTTATGGTTAACAAAGCTCACTCAAATAACACTTGATCTAGACTCGCCCTCCTGGATCAGAATATGATCTCTCCAAAATACCCTTGCCTTTCTTCCTCTCTCCTTCCCTTTCTCCTTCCTTCCTTCCTTCCTTCCTTCCTTCCTTCCTTCCTTCCTTCCTTCTTTCCTTCCTTCCTTCCTTTCTTCCTTCCTTTTTTCCTTCCTCCTTTCGTGCTTTCTTACCTCTCAGATATTCTGATTCAGTTGAGGGACTTTGAGGAAAACATAACTAGAATGTGGTCTCTTGCTTGGTTTAAGGTGAATTCTAAGTTAGTTGCTTACTGATCCCTCTGTGTTTGGAAACAGAGTGTAATGTCTGTCTTATTAGCTTTGGGGCAGGAGACAATGGAATGACTTAACTACATTAATCTTAAAGGAACAAGAATGGAAATGAGAAGAGGTGCATCATATAGTTCAAATGTATTCCCTTTAAAAGTTTTTTTGAACATCGATTTTCCTCATTCATACAGTATGCCAAATAAAAATGCTTTTTAATAGTTTAGAGATGACATCAACTTATGAAAATTAGGTTATACTTGGGTTTGTTATCAAGTCAACCTTTATTTTAGTAACTTTAGAAACATCGTACATATAAGTTAAATATCATCTTCCTCATTCCAATAATGTTAACACTGCATATCTAGAGTGCTTAAATAAGCAGTGTTTTAGGTCTTTGCATATAAATCTGCTTGGCTGACTGAGCATTAGAAATCCCAAGGATGGTAGAAGAGGACAAAGGGAGGAAGTCTGATTTTGTAGCAATTACTCAGAGCTTTGTTTCATCAGAGCCAACAAGACATCTAAGGTTTATTTCCAAGTAGTCCATAAGCTGTAAAGAAATATGGTTTATTACACAAATATCAAATCATTATGTTGGATACCTAAAATTAATATAATGTATTATGTCAATTATACCTCAATAAAATTTTTTTAAGAAATAAGTTTACACTAATAATAAGCAATAATGAAAGTAAATAATTAGCAGCTATTGAACCAAAAAACTATTCTAAGAAGCCAAGCAGCACTAGCATAATCTGAACATTATAACTCACTCAGGATTGACAGTGTAGCATGAAGTTCCTCTGTCTCAGGACTGTAACCACCACTTGCCCATGTCTGCTGGCTTGCCCTTGGAGGGTTACGCTTTGGAAGTAGATGAAAACCTGTACAGTTAGCTGTTTGTTGCCTGCTTCTGATTCAGCAAGAATGAGACCCTAGCCTGAGCATCAAGGACTTATTATGTGTGAGACCAGAAAATGCCTCACTTGGTCATTTTTTTTTCAGTTCTTGTGAAACTGAACCTTAAAAGCAAGAATTTGGCCAGTGTCCAACCTTAACCATTTTTGACCTGTCATAAGGGAGGACTGCATGCTGAGACTCCCAGACCAGCAATCATTTTGTTCTCTCTAGTTAGCCCTTCATCCCTCAAGGTTCCTCTCTTTTACCTCTCCATAAAGATGACCATGAAAAGCAAAGGTCATTGTCAGATCTCATAGCTTTTGTAGCAAAACGGAAGAGGGTCATATAGCGAATTTCTTAGAAAAGCCTTTTTGTCCACTCAAATGAAATAGGATATTTTAAGATGTTTTTAAAACACTAACATATTCTTAGGTTACAATGTTAGCTTTTTTATTATAAAAGAGTATATTTTAAAATAATATATACTGTATTTTCCCTAAATATAAAAGTAGTACATATTCATTATCTAAAGCTTAAAAAGATAAAAAGTACAAAGAAGAAAATAAAAATTGCCCTAACTCAGAAAGAACTATTAGTTAACATTTTTATGGATTTTTGAGTATTTTTTACCTTACTCAATATAGATAGCATTTTGTATCCCATTTTATTCATGTAGCAATATGTTGTGACCATTTTACATACCATTAAATAAAACATTTCTTCAATAACTGCATAAAATTTTCTAATGTTTACTAAAATTTGGTTAAGAAATTGCCTATTTGATATTGAGTTATTTTCTTTTGTGTGTGCATGATTATAAAGCTATATTAAATACCACTTAAAATCATTTTTTATTTATTTTTGACTATTCCCTTAGGATAAATTCCTGAAGTTGCAATTGTTGGGCCAAAGAGCATGATGTTTGTAAATGCTTTTGATAAATTTTGATCATTCTTCAGAAAAGGAGGTATCAATGAGCAATTTTACTGATAATGATAAATGGCCTTATGTCCCTGTACTATTGGCAACAATGTCACAGATTCCACCAATTCTTTCTATATTTGATAATTTAGTAATTAAGAAGTGGTGGCAAGAATATGGTTTTCAATATTAGTAGGCAAATTTTCTAAATTAATTCCCTTTCTTCTGCTTGTTTTGAAACAAAACAAAAAAATTCCATCTTAGAACATGCTAAGAATCCTGAATAATTCAATATCAGAAGAAAGTTTTACCAAGGACTTTTTATCTGAATTTTAAGAATGTAAAAAGGCCATAAAAGCAGAAAAATTATATATCCAAGTTTGTTCCAAGTTCCTGGTCACCTTGAAAACTATCCCTGTGCTTTGATCATTCTTTGTGTAGCCAATCTATTATCTTCCCAACAACTCACCATGACAAAATGCATGACTAACATTATCCACCTACACAGTAAAGATGCTCCTGCCTTGCCTTTGGCATTGAAACATGGCCCATAAACACCCAGGATTAATTACAAACTCAAGACCACAGCTGTTCAAAGGTAACCGCTGCAGAAAGCTAAAGTCTATCCTCCTCACAGTAGCTACAGTGATCTTTTCACAACTTTGGATCATGTCATTTCTATACTCAAATATTTCCAGTGGCTTCCTGTCTCAGAATAAAATCCTCCCCATGGCACGCAAGTGTCACCCTCAACTTTCGTCTTTGACTACTCCCTGGGCTGTCCATTCTTCTCTTATTACATTGGCCTACTTTTCGATCCTTCACTCAGCAACTGTACCTCCAACTTAGAGTCTTTGCGTTTGTTGGTCCCTCTCTTTCTTCTTTCTTCAGATGACAGAGTGGCTTACCTCTGCAGTTCACTCAGGTCTCTGCTCAAATGTCCCCTCCTCAGAGAGCCCATCCTTGAAATACTAACCCTTCCTCAAACCATCACTCTTTTCCCTCACCCAGATATATTTTTCCTCTAGCACTTTGCCTAGATACCCCAGGACATATTTATTTTCACTTGCTAGATACATCTCCCCCTAAATATAAATTTCAATATAGTCATGGACTTTGTTATGTTCACACGAAGAACTGTGTGGATTAAGCAGATACCCAACAAATATTTATTGACAAAAAAAATCTATTGGAACAAACAACTGCATGCTTTCACATTTCACTCAGAAATTGTATTTATTTATTTATGTATTTTCAAATTTGGAGGAATTTCTTTTTAAAAATTTACTTGTTATTAAATTTATTGGGGTGACATTGGTTGCTGAAATTATATAGGTTTCACTATATGATTCTATAGTGCATCTGTATATTGTATTGTGTGTTTACCTTAGACTGCAACAGATAACACATGACTTTCTTGTCCTTTTATCAGGACTATTCTATCTTGCTTGCATGATAATAAAATTGCATTTCACTTTAGTCACAACCTTATTTAGGTTTGAATTACCTGGCTAAGCACCATGCCTTCTCCTGATTCACATACAAAAGTATAAAATGGCTACTTCTGTATACATTTTACATTATACTTTACACTGCAATGCTTTATTCTTAATATTTTATTTATATTCATAATGTGTAACATATATTAACTTCACAAATTAATACTTCTGAATTGTTCCACCACTAAGACATATTGCAAAGATTGTGTCACAATGCATTGCGGCAGTTTAAGCTAAAAATAAGAGAAAAATAAACACACTAAAATAACACTATGCCCTATAATACTAAATTGACTCCCAAAGACACTCTCATAGAAGCCAGCAATTATAATCTTTTACATTTTATATTTCACTGCACTCAACTCATCTTTTATATCAGTTTACCTGATTTTTTGGTGCACTGAGTGAAGCCTAATAGAGACATATTATAAAATAATTAGAAGGAAAAGATCAGTTTATATTTTCAATCTTAAAGGTAAAAGGTATTGAATGTAGTACTTTGCTAATTTAGCCACTGTTATGATTTTAGGTGAAAACAATTCAGATTAAGTTATGTTAGCTTATATACTATAAAACATCATTAATTGTATGTAATATTTTTGCCTATAGACCTATTTTAATATAATCACAGTTTTTATTCTGTTTAGTTTACAAATGATTAATTCAGCACCAGACAAGTATGAGAGATAATCTTTTATATATTATCTCAGCCCCCATTGAATTTCAGCCTAAGGGTTTAATCAGGAACCTAAGTAAAATATACACATTTCAATTTGCACCAACCTTCTAGTCTAATTCATGTAAGGTGTGTTTTGCAGCATAGTCATCTAAATGATCTTCATTTCAAGCATGTAACTTTGGTTCCATCTCTCTCCCTGAGCAATCTAACTGAAGACTCAAGAAAGAACAACTAGCCATCGTCTCTTTATTTGCCATCAAAATCACTATAACACATGATGCAATCACTTCTTGGATGATTTTATCTATAATTTTCTTAGAAATGTTTATGAAGATCTTTGAGAATTTTTATGACTTCTTTTCTTTTATTATTTCAAATATTTACATATTTATTGCATCATTTCTTTTAGTATATTTTAAAAACATCAGGACCCAACTGTTATAATATACTCATTCTTAGATTTTCATAGCATTAATCTTTCTACATCACTCTGAATGTTTTATATAATCTTTCTTTTGTTTTACCTATTACTTATTTTCCACTGTACCTTATAATATCTACCTCTTGGACTTCGTAACACAAAAAATTTATTCCTTTGTGGAAGGTGGGCCATAGAACAAATATATCAGTTCTTGCACAGAAAGTAAAATATTTTTCAGAAAAGTTTTAAAGTTATAAAAAAGGCAATACAAATAATTAACATGTTTAGTAAATAAGAATAAAGTACAATTATGTGTGTTGATATGAAAAATACCCAAGAAACAGTTTAAGTGAAAAAATCAAGCTATAAAACAAAATGTATCTGTATATAAAAATAACATATATGATTACATAAAAACATAAAAATGCTTAGGATATAAAGTTAGAATAAAAAGTATAAATTTTATAAAAATATGACAACATAACTTTGTAAACCCTAAGTTTAGAAATAAAAAGCCTGACCAAATGTTAAAAGTGAGTTTTTGTGTGATATGTTTATGGGTAATTTTTTAAAACTACCTTTCCCTATTTTCTAAATGTTTCTAAGCTGTTCATGAAAAATAAATACCAATAAAGGGACTCAGTACATATATTAGTCACAAAATTTCCAATCTATTCTGAACCTTAATAAAAAGATAATAAAATGTTTCAAATTATAGATGTTATCAAGTTAAGAACACAGAGTTCCCATCATATTTGAGAAAAATAATAAGTGTACACACGTACACTTCACAAATCCAGAAAAAAAGAAAACCCACTCTCTTCCACGTGACATAATCCTATCAGTGTTTCTGCTATTCTATCCATTGCAAAAATACAGCCTATATGTGTGCATCTTACTTTACAAAAAAAATGTTTACTTTTATCAATCCAGGTAAACAATCTAGTTAACTGAAGTGGAAATAAAAATAATAATGTCAATGTTACTACTGAATTTTAGTATCTCTACCTTTTTTGATCAGCAGCTTGTCAAATTGTACACATTTTCTTGATTCTATATTATATAGACCTGAATTGAACAATGAAATCCAAGATCAAAGATTTGAATTATTTTATAAAAGTTTTAAATATCTATAATAATAAAAGCATAATATGCTAATTAGACTGGATAGCTGAACGACCTTCCGGACGAAGCCAGGGCTGCGAGGGCCAAGCCCCTTGCATGAATTTCGTGCACTGGGTCTCTAGTATTTTAATAAGAATTCTAGCTCATCTATGGCAAAATCCTCTTGACAATGTTGGAGATACTTGTGTTCTAATCTTAGGGCAGAGGTTGACAAACCTTTTCTGTAAAGGTTCAGAGAGTGAATTCTTAGGGCTTTGTGGGCCACAGGGTCTCTGTTGCAACCACTTCCCTTTGCCCTGGTAGTGCCAAAGCTGCCATGGGGAGTATGTAACTGAATGACCATGGCTCTTTTCCAATAAAACTTACAGTATTTGTAACACTGACATTTGAATTTAATATAATTTTCACATTACAACGTATTTTTCTTCTTTTGAATTTTCCCCAACCATTAAAAAATAAAATTAGCTCACAGGAAATACAGAAAGAAAGGCACTAGGCAAGATTTGGCTCATGGGCTGAAGGTTGTAAACTGTTCATTCTGGAGTTTATTTTTTAACTTCTTTGAAGGTTCTATCTTCTGCTGTATCCCACTGTCTTGGATGCTTTTATCCTCCTCTATTTCACCTTCAAAATCGTATTTAACCTTTAAAGGTTTCCTCAACAGGTCCTTCACAAAACCTTTGGTGTCTTTAACCAAATGGGACTTCTCTCCCTTTGAAATCCCATAGCATTTGTACCTTCTCTGGTTTTACATATGGCTACTGAGCTTTGTCCAGTTACTCGTGTGCCAAGCCTTCCTTTCAACATTTTATGGGGGGAATCCTCTCTTACACATGTCTTATTGACGATGGTGCCCTGTACATAATAGAAGGTCGATAATAACGGTTGAAGTGAAAAATGACCCTGTCAATTCCTAGATGTAGGCCCCCATGGTTTGATAACAGCTTTTAAGGTTCTAAAAGAAATATGGACATGAAAAGTATTTATAACTTTTAAGACAAAGATGGGTTTTTAGTAATATTTAAATGTGAAAACAAATTCTATCTTGGAATCAAGTAGAATTCCCACCAGGTTGGCCAAGGAGAGAGATGAGCGAGAGCACAGGGAAAGGATCGATAGAGATGCGAGTTACAGGGCACAGGGTGCTGGCTACAGGAGAGCTAAATGTCTGGCAGGCAGTATCGGACTGTTCACAGGACATAACTCAGTTTTTTCACTGTCTTCCTAAAGTTGAGAAAAGTAGCAGACCTTTCATGTGTCTAAGGTACTGGGACCTGATTGTTCTGGGATACTCCCCCTCTTCCCTGTCAAATGGAACTGTCTTACACACCCAGGAAGTTACTAAGCTTCAGAGAAGAACTCAAAGTGAAGTTTGGAGGTTTCTATGAAATGTTTGTATTTTTTATCTAAATCTAAACATGTTTATTGAACAGATAAATAGGACGTTTTTTGAAACTGGAACAGCTCTGCTTAAATTCAAATCTTAGGAATGTTTATTTGCCGTATATCCTTACAAATTTACCTCCTCTAGCTATGATTTTGTCATCTGTAAAAAAAAGATGATAATGGGACCTAACTTATGGCGATTGAGCTGTTGTGAGGATTAGATGAGTTAATATATGCAAGTGCTTAGAACTGATGCATAGTAAGCACCCATCAATGTTAGCTACAGATGTCTATGCGCGCGTATATAGCTAAAGACACATAGCATTGCTGGCATTAACCTCTAAAATGCCACACACACCCTTGTCTTCAAGACACCTGCCGGGTTTTATTTGATTGTTGAGATAGAATTACCATAGGAAGACATTTACAGAAAATAGGAAACAGGCTATAAGAATTATCAAGTTATTTTTTAAATGCAATAGAAGGAAAACAGCAAGCTGAAAATACATGTATGATTATGTGACAAAGAGAGAAATAGGACACAATCCAATCCCTCTGGCATTATCACAAGAGTATTTCCCAAGCGTTGGCAGAATGCAGTGGCCAAAATCAACTTCCATGCACGGGGACAATGGCAGGCCAACTCAATGGCCATACTTACCACCTTTCTCCACCCTACAGAGACCTGACTTTTTGTCCTTCCCCTTAGCAGTGCTTCCTTTCCAAAGCTTACTCCTGTAATTTTTCTTTTCTTCCTTGGAAACATGTTCCCGGGACTCCTCAGAAAAGCCCTCTGCAATCACTTGGGTTCTATTTTCTGTTTCTTCTTCAAGAACGTTCTCCAAGCTTTCCTCTCTTGGCAGAGTCTTGATCTCTACATCTGCTTTTATAATTTTTTGATCTTCAATTTCTAAGGAATCCTCAGTGGGAAGGTGTGATTTTCCTGGCTCATCATTTTCACTCAACTCCTGAGAAGATGAACTTCGGACACTTTCGTCTGCACTGTCTTCCGCGTGCGCTTCCCTGTCCTCCAGGACAGACTCATCTTCGCTGCAGCTAGAGTAGGGGTGACTTCTGCACGAGGAGGACGACGCGGTTTTTATGTCTACAAAAGCAAAATGGTGGGTGTCATTGTTTTTATAAAGCAATTGATTTAACTATGGGAACTGTGTTAATAACTAATCTTACTAAAATTAGTTAATATAGTTTATTAGATTTGATACCCTTTCCCTATATGTTCTACATAGTTGCCATGATTTAAAAAAACAAAACACCTGTGTAATCTGTGAGTCTATAGAAGTTTTCAACAGGAAATCACATTTAACTAAAAATTAATGTATTTTTTAGAATGTCATTTTATTGGAAAATCTTTGTAAGTATATTGTTATAGAAAAAACACAATAAATTTTTGAAATGATGTGTGTGTGTGTGTGTGTGTGTGTGTGTGTGTGTGTGTAGAAGATGTATTATTTCAGGTTCCCCAGAAGCAAATGCTGAGATGAGGATTCATGGATAAGTGATGTATCAAGGATATGAATGTTCCAGGAGAAAGTCTTACAGGTGTGGGGGAACAGGACAGGGAATGGAAGAAGTCAATCAAAGGAGCTATTTCAAGAAACATTTAAACAGTCTTATCTCACAGGGACCTCCGAAGTCTAAATTATAGTAGCATTTTTCCTCCCTTGAAGGAGGAGTTGGCTTTCATACTCTGGTCTAGTTCACCTCAGGGGTGCGTAAGTTCCTTGGCACTCCTAGGTTCTTTGCCTCAAGATGAAACAACTCCAGTTGCCCACGGCTATCCTCTGAAGAGGGCAGAGGGTGCGGAAGCTGAGGATAGGCACACTGAATCTTTAAAAGAGATTCTAGGAGATCCAGGCAGTACCTTTATGTGCTACTACAGATATGCAATCTAAAGACTTAACGTAGCCAAACATTAGTTTAGTAATTACTACCCCAAAAAACTTTTAAAAAATCTCCAGGAAAGTGACATACACACTGAATCTTAGTCAGGATGACGAACAGCCTAACCTACAAGTCACGGCATATGCTGCTGAGGACCAGAGAAATACAAACTTGTTTTTAATTTTTAACCAATATATGTGTTTATAATTGTTTTTAATAGAATATATTTTCAAATGTAGTATCCTACACTTGCAGGTTGCCTAGCTTTCTTATTTTCTCTTTTCTGTGTGCTCCTTACTCTTTTTTCTGTTTCTTTTATTTTTGCTTGGCAGCTACACAGATGGCTGTAGCAGTTGATGCAGAGTTTAAGGGAAGAATTACCTGTCTTCACTCTTATCCTTTTCCCTCAGTCCTGCCAGCCCCAACAGCTTCCATGACAGGTCTTAGCATTTTAAGTATAGTCTCAGAGACATATCAGAGTTTCCACAAAGATTCGAGAGACGCTGCACAGCAGTAAATAACAAACTCTGGAAAGCCTTTAGGCAACAGAACCCTTTAAGTACAATTCCATTTATTCTTATCTCCCAACTACCTTGACAGGTACCAGATGACCACGGTTTGTCAAAGGAATCAGATACTTTAGCTTCTTATTCTTTATCTCCACTTTATGAAATCAGGATATGCTGTTTTTCCTATTAGTTCAAAAACTTTAGAGATGATGACCTCCCCCTCTTTCAAGCATCTCACATTTGTTTTGTTTTCAATAAAAAACAACTCCAGTTGACTAGTGGTTTGATCAATGGCATTCATTACTTGCCCAACAAGCTAGGGCACAAGGTCATACTTGTTCCAAACTTCCAAAAATATTCATGTCTACCACCTCAATAGTGTCATGATGAGTCCCACTTTGGCTCTGAGCATTGTTCACTAATAAATAAATAAAAAGAGTGCTTCTCTATATTTCTTTAGTAGATTCTGTTAATCGTTTGATTTCCAAAGGCTAAAACACACTCTGGTTCCATTTTGAGTCAGTCCTTTGGAGAATGAATGGCCTCAAAGTGGTGAGGGTAGGTGACCTCCCATATAAACTCATTTCAGTTTTTGCATTTCTCTAACCTCACCATATAATTTTGCTTCACTCTCATTCTTTACTCTCATTTTCATACAGACACTGGGGCAAGACTTGGCATATAAAAAATGCTCAAAATGTGTTAGAGCCATGGAATTGGATTTTTCAACACTAATTTTATTTATTTTCTTAGAAATAAAGCAAGTTTTATATAAAGGAACTTTGAGGGTATATGTGTGAATGTTTTTGTCATTAACAGGGAAAAAGTAATCTCAGAGGCATGTTGGAAATCAACGCAGCCTCCCACCCAATTCCATTTGTCTCTCCAGTGTTCGCTCCAGGTATTGATGCTGAAAGCATCTGCTCTTAGTCTTCATGGTAAAAAAAAAAAAAATGATGTGCACGTGTTGCCTGAGACCTTGGCTAAAGCCAGCAAGTGTGGTGCCCTGTTCCAAGACCTAAGCAGGATCTCTGACTTTTCTCTCTCTACCTTCAGTCAGTCACTAAGTCCTTCACTGTCCTCTCTTTTCATGTCATTGATAACTATTCATTGATAACTTCCTTCTTCTGCATCACCACTATTTTACACAGCATGAGACAGAAAAATTTAGATCACCCAATGACATTTATCCCAACTCAGTGGACTCAATACTCTTCTGAACTCTAATATGAATTATGTATCTCTTTCCCATTCCTTAGTCTAAGGGATTGACTAAGCAAAACCTACATAAATTCTGCTCCTATTTTCTTCAAATTAACTGTGACACATGAATTTATATTTATACTATTACTTGTATTAATACTTCTATGTTGATTATATTTATATCCATAAAAATCTGTTTATATTAGATACTGTGTTTCAGTCAATATTTTCATGTACAATAATGCTAATTAGACAAGTGCTTTGCATTCAGTATTGTCAAATGAATATATGCTTAATGAATATATAAATAGAAATCATGAAATTTCATCTATGAACAGTAACTAGTTATTAGTATTATGGGAGAGCGTATAGCTTCATACTGATCATTCATTACTCAATTCATCAATGAGAAATATATACATTACTTTGTAAGAATAAATATTTACAGGTAAATGTAGACATAGCAGGAAGGAAAGAAAAAGAAAAAAAAAGCCTAAAAGTTCCTTCATCTTTACCTCTAGTTTCACTTTATAAACGTTAAAACAAACACTTAAAATACTGAGAATATAATAAAATCATGTGTCACATTGTGCTACTGCCTAAGTCTTTTTACATTTATCCATTAATCTAGCCAAACAGCCTGGCATTCCATAAGATTTTATTGGGTGCCTGGGTAGTGCCTTTGCTTTGAATCTCAAAGCTATAAAAAAAATACTTCATGGAAAGTATTTTATGTAAACTAAAAGATGCTGCTGCATTTAAATATTTACCATGACTTCCTACTTCGACAACTGAAAAGTAAATATAGATTAAGTGTGGGGAGGCACGGGACTTGGTGGGAGAGTCTGTAAGGAGGATTCTCTGCAAGGTCAGAGGCCTCTGGGAGACCTTGCCGAAGGCGGCAGCCCCTGCCTTGACTTTTCCAAACAAGTCAGAGCCCCAGGTGTTTTACTGGAATCTTTATGTTTAGACTTCAAAACATCCTTGCTTAAAGGACGCATATGTTTTCTCAAAGATGCTTACCTTGCTGATAGTATCTAATAGTTAATTTTAGTTCAAGCTGTTGTTACAGGAAAAGCCTAAGAAGGCAGGTGAATGAGGCTACTTGGTGGCTACAGCCAAGTAGTCCCTTAGCCTCTCTTTCACAGAAACATGTGTCAGAGTAATCATTCATCCATTGGTCAGGGTCTGCTGGTCAGTCCTGGCAATTAAGAAATTCTTACCATTAAGAAAAATTAAAGTTTGACTAATCATGGAAAAATCACACATAGACTTTGACCAAAAGGCCTCCTACAATCTTCCTTTAATATTTTCTGGCCCAACCAGCAGACAAGTTACACTGAAGTGCACAGAGTGTGGTTTCATAGCATGTATAATATCATATTGAGGAGCAGCCTTCCCTCATATGCATCTCTTCAAGCCCATAGGCCAAGAAATGAAGACAGAGATCCTTGCAGTCTGTAAGTCAAGTAAACAGAATATTTTTGTGACTCTGGGATTTTAAATTTCTATACGGCCTATTTGTTCAACAGACTGGAAAATAGCACAAGGGAAATGTTATCTTTTTTATTAATAAAAAATATTTGCTTTAATTTTTAAGTTCTTCACTTTATATTCTAGGAATGAACACTGTCTCCCCACTCCCCGCTCCCTTCTCACATCTTTCTCATAAGGAACTACTTAGTCTTTAGCTGTTACTCATAGGCACTATCATCTAAACTGTCCATAAAAGGATGAAAGTATATTCTTAGTATCATGACACTGTCCCCTCAACCTTACAACATTCATTACGACAATATATTTTCATTTGGCGAATTAGCAGCTGGGGTTGCCAACACAAATGCAGAGAAAGGGAAGCTGTCCTTCTTTATAAACGATGGGAAGTCTCACACATCATTCCTAAAGCAGGGTCTTCTCTGAGTCAGCTCTCAGTCCCTAGCACTCTATCACTCACACCCTGTTCAGCACGGTGTATTCATCAAGGCCGGCGGTGCAATTGTTAGCTGGCAGTTTAAATGGGGCCAACTTGTCACAAGAGTGACAGCCTGGGCAATTGTTTGCCCTCTGGGAACAGGTGCAGGCAGGTTCAAATGAAACACATCCAAATACTAAGAGCAAGATCCTTAATCATGTCAATAAAAGGGATGTACTGGTGTCTGGGATTCAGTGGTCACAATATGCCTCTTACGCTTTTGAAGATGAAGTGCTGTCTGGCTTTTCAGGAGAGTGTTCCAAGGAATCTATCATGACATTATCATGTTTAATACATGCTAGTTGTTTGCTGCATGAAATCTGTAATTCTGATATTCCACACACTAAAAGGCATGCTTTTAAATAAGATAGGGTCAGGTTATCAAAACAAAGAGATAGAAAAATAAACAAGCCTAACAGTGGAAGAAAGAAAGATTAACAAACACTTTATTTCATAATAATGTCAAAGTTTTGATGTAAATACCAACGATACAAAGAAGCTCTAAAAGTATAGCTTTATATCATTATTGAAAATTAAGACAAAATTGTTGGCCAATAAAATTATTGGCTCTTGCCTGACCGGTTTGGCTCAGTGGATAGAGCGTCGGCCTGCGGACTGAAGGATCCCGGGTTTGATTCTGGTCAGGGGCATGTACCTTGGTTGCAGGCACATCCCCAGTGGGGAGTGTGCAGGAGGCAGCTGATCAATGTTTCTCTCTCATCGATGTTTCTAACTCTCTATCTCTCTCTGTAAAAAATCAATAAAATATATTTTTTAAATTATTGGCTCTTAAATTCCTCAACACTTATGGACTAGATTTTATACATTCTAATAACTTTCACTACATATCTATTTAAAATATCCTATATTCTATATCTATATAATGCAGCAAAGTTTATACAATTTTTTTCAATAAAATTCTAATAATAATCATATAGCATACATGTAACTAGATTTTATGACACTAACAAAAGTACCTTAGTGTTCTCGGTATTAAAAAAAATTAATTGTACTTGCTTAATATTTACAAAAGATCTTTTAGGAAATCACCTCTGTGAGCAATAACAAAGATAATATCTTAGTGATGTTATCAGTTCCTATAATTTGTGTGTTCTGAACTGGTATAATTACCTTGAGCAAAATTTAACACACAAAATCATAAATATAAACCAAACTACTGAATGATAGAGTCTCATAAAGTAAAGACCTCAGTGAAGGCTGATGAAGTAGAAATGTGTCAGAGGAGGAGGGGGATGAGTTGGAACTGAGCAAAAGGCCTGGGAATCGATTGGGAAGTCTATCCAGGGAGGAGAAACATGAACTTGGGTAAAATTTAAAAAACCTCCATTTCTATTTCCTCTGTTTAAAAATAAAACAAAACTAAAAAGAAACAAAAACAGAGACTAGAGAACAGGATTTTTAAAAGCTCAAGATAAATGCCTCTAAAATGTTTATTCTTAAGGCAATATAATCCTTTTATTGAGGGGATTTGCTTTAATTTTATATAAGCGGAGATTTTCTTATTTGGAGAAACATTATATTTGTATTTTCCAAAATTCAGGCTCTGCAGTTGGTAATGTGAGTTCTGACTGTGAGAGTTACTTAATCTCACCATTTCCAAGTTTATTTGTAAAATAGAGATATAAAGGAAGTACCTGCTTATTGTTGGAGGTAAATCAGATAATTCATTGAAAATATTTAGCACAGTGCTTAGCACAAAATATAATCTTAATAAACAATAACTATAGAATGCCTTTCTAAACACAGAATTCCAATTATTTATATATAAGCAGTATTCAGCTTTAAAGCTTGCATATCATTGTCAGTTATTGCGTGTTTATATGACTTAAGTTTTCTCTCCAAGGAAGATCCAAGTATTGCCATTATCATGTGTCCAAAGTAAATTGAGAAAAAAAATGAACCTAAGACAGGAATCTTCAACTTTTTCTTTAATTGAGTGTAAGCTACTGTTCATTTTTCCAGAGCCATAAAATGGTGTGTGTGTATGTGTATGTGTTGTATAAGGGGGGATAGTTTAGGATAAAAAAATAATTTTTTAAGTAAACAGCAGATGTGTCACTATAACTTTTACCTGACATCCAGCTAAAAAATCTTAGCAAACTAAGGAAAGAAGAAGGATTAAAGACTCACTCCATAATTTGGATATTTACAGAAGACTGATTGATCAGCACCCTCTGGTTGGGGAAACATGCTCTAAACATTCCCTTAAAAGAAGATTATCTCATCTATAATAATAATAGAGGAATATGCAACTTGTCCAGGACACCGTCACACCATCACAATAACAGTAAAGACCAAACAGCAGGCTGCGTGGGGCGACAAGGCTGGCGTGGGGAGGAGGGGCAATATTGGTATAACCGGCCACAACTAGGGGGAGAAAGATGGAAGAATCTAGTCTGTCAGGTGGTACCAGTCTAGAGTATCCATGGTAGTGGGGGGGGGGCGGAGGGGGGGCTACGCATCAGGAGATGAGGAATGGAGTATACGCCATACCGGCGTAGGATGTGTGCTGTGGGTGT